TCGTCGTCGTCGTCGTCGTCGTCGTCGTCGTCGTCGGCGTCGGCGTCGGCGTTGGCGTCATCGTCGTGCTCGCGGTCGGGAGTTGTTTACGGGGGCCAGGTAATTTCTACAAGAACTCCTCAATCACATTGGATGCCCAAAAGAGGGCACCTCTAAACCCCAGACCCTGGCATCACCCCCGCTGCGAGGCATCATCCATCTTGGAGTGGACCGGTTCAGGACGAGCTTGGCATGAAGGTTCTAGGTCGAGGGGGTTTAAGGTTCAAAGGTTTAGGGTTGGGTTTTGGATCTCTAGGCATGCCAGCAGCCACGGCACCCTAAACCCTAAACCCTAAACCCTAAACCCTAAACCCTAAACCCTAAACCCTAAACCCTAAATCCTTAGCCCCGGAACCCCTCTGCAGGAACTACTGCAAGGCCGCTGTGCAACTGCTGGAGCGTGACGACAGGGGACGCCAAGGGAGCAAAAAGCGAGGCCAGTAGGGTTTAGGGCTTCGGGTAAGCGCTCCTAGACGGCCCCTACTCATACTAAAAAAAAAGGAACCCTCGGATCCCTAGGCCCTGAACCGCTTCGTGGCCTCACTTTGTACATAAGAGGCCTCAGAGGCTGCGAAGTCTCATTGGAGCGTCTCGCACTTCGCCGAGGTTGAGATCTAGGGCTTCGTTTGGAATGTGAGGTTTGGGGGGGGGGCTTTGGTTGTGGTTTTATCTTTCGGTTTATCTATTGTTTGAGGTTCCCCCAATTATCCATCATTTCGGGATGAAGGGTTGCAACCGACTCGTTCGTAAGTTGTGGAGTTGCGACCGCACCGCGAGCATGACTTCGGCGATGTCGGGGTTGATCAAAATCGTGGGCTTTGTTTAGGTCTCTGTAGTTATCTACATGTAACATAACGTATCAAAACAAAACAGAATCTAATGCAACATATTATAGTGTTATATAATGCAATACAATATAATCTAACATAACATAATACAATAGAATATAATACAATATAATGTAACATAACATAATATGATCTAGTATAATATAGTATATAATAATACAGTATAATATAATATAACATGAAAGATACAATATGGTAAACTATCATGTAATATCATATTATTTAGTGTAATGTAATGTAATGCAATGTAATGCAATGTAATGTAATGTAATGTAGTGTAATGCAATGTAATGTAATGCAATGCAATGTAGTGTAACGCAATGTAATGTAATGCAATGTAATGTATTGCAGTAATTGTATTATAAGGTAAGGGAATGGAATGCAATGCATTGTAATGGAATGCGATGTAATGTAATGTATTGTATTGTAATGTAATGTAATGCAGGTTAATGCAGTGCATTGCAAAGTAATGCAATGCAAAGTAATGTAATGTAAAGTAATGTACTGTAATGTATGGTATTGTAATGTAATGCAAAGCAAAGCAATGCAATGCAATGTCATGTAATGTAATGTAATGTAATGTATTGCAATGTAATGGAATGCAATGTGATGCAATGCAATGTACTGTAATGCAATGTAATGTATTGCAGTGTAATGTAATGCAATGCAATGTAGTGCAACACAATGTCATGCAATATAATGATATACATATATATATATATTCATTCTGCGAAGTCCATTCGATCAACCCCGTGCGTTTCACCGGCAGGCAGGTCGCCACCCTGGTTTCTTGAACACGGCGCCAAGATGGATTTCAGGGCTCTTTAACCCTCCACGCCTTAACCTCCAGAATCCAAACCGTGAGCCGTTCCAACTTGCCTTAGGTGAGTAGGTGCACTGCATTTTAGCTCTGAAGCCCTGAACCTTGAAGTCCGAAACCCTATTAGACTCCCAACTCTTCACCCAACAGCCCAAAAAGCTCATGGCTTAGAGCCTCCCAAGCAGCAATGCAGTCTCCACCTTAGGGTTCTAGGGCGCCCCAGACCGAGTACAAGCCACGCCAGAAACAGACCCCAAAGCACTGAGGCCCTTGGACTTCCAGTGTGTGCCTGACCCTGAGAAGTCCTGAAACTTGGGGGGTCCGAGCGGGAGTTAAGGAGTTTAGGTCTAAGATCTCGTCTTCTAGGCTTAAGAAAACTGAGGCTTTATTGCAGTGTAGCTGCGTGTAGCGGCGTGTAGGTGCGTGTAGATATGTGTAGCTTGCAGATGCTTGCCTCGCTTTGGGGGCGTTTCGACAGCATGTTCTGGCAACCTCTCTCCGGACTCGTGGCATTTGCCGGGCACATGCTGATGGCATTCTGCTGTTCTCGAGCCACAAGCTGTCGAGATTGAAAAGCCTCCTGCGTTGCTGCCCGCCCCTCCTTCGGAAGGCCTTTTGCAGCCATGGGGGCTCGTGAGAAGGATGTGTACTTTGCCACTCGGCTGTCAACGGGTCTACTTCCGGGTGTAGGGTGAATGGTGTAGTCATGATGAACCTCTGCTGTCTGAGGCCAAGCTTGCTGAGCAGGCGGAGCGCTACGACGAGATGGCCGACTACATGAAGAAGGTGGGCCACGCGGACGCAGAGCTCTCAGTGGAGGAGCGCAACCTGCTGTCCGTGGCCTACAAGAACACCGTGGGATCTCGCCGTGCTGCCTGGCGCATTATCTCCGCAGTTCAGCAGAAGCTGGGTTGCCAATCGTTACATTGCATTACATTACATTACAGTACATTACATTACATTGCATTGCGTTACAGTACAGTACAGTACAGTACAGTACAGTACAGTACAGTACAGTACAGTACAGTACATCACATTACACCACATTACATCACATTACAAAACATTATATTACATCACATTACATCACATTGCATCGCAATACATTACATTACATTACATTGCATTACATTACATGGCATGACATAACATCACATTACATCACCTTACATTACACTGCATTACACTACTCTACATTACGTTGCATTACATTGCATTACATTGCATTGCATTGCATTACATTGCATTACATTGCATTACATTGCATTACATTGCATTACATTGCATTGCATTACATTGCATTACATTGCATTACATTGCATTACATTGCATTACATTGCATTACATTGCATTACATTGCATTACATGACACTACATGACACTACATGACATTACATGACATTACATGACATTACATGACATTACATGACATTACATTACATGACACTACATGATACCAAGATTATGTTGTCTTATATGAACTTATTTGAACATATTTATTATATTGTACCCTCACAGTCACAGAATGGTCGATCGCTTGTTTTCGTATGTTGCAGCCAAGGAAGGAAACAAGCAAGGGCAACAGCGAGAACGCCGCCTGGGCCGCGGAGTACTGCACAAAGGTGCGAGAGCTTTGAGCATTGCCATGCGTAGCTGTATAGCGGTCTTGCCGAGCAAGGGTTGAAGTTGTAGCAAGTTCGGGTTTAGGATATAGGGTTTCGGGGTTGGGGGTTTAGGGGCACCTTAGGAGCCCAGTATGTCCTTGGGATGCCAAGTTGCATGCCGCTCTGAAGCCCGAAGCCCCAGGTTGCGAATGAGCTGCAAAAAATCTGCGACACCATCCTGGCCCTCTTGAGCGAGAAGCTGATTGGCAAGGCGAGCAGCGGTGAGTCCAAGGTCTTCTACCACAAGATGAAGGCTGACTACTACCGCCACTCCGCCAAATTTCTTTAGTGGAGAGTTTCGGGTTCTTGTTATTCATTCTTATTCGGCCCTTTTTGGTACACCCCTTAGGCTACATCGCGGAATTCCGCGAGGGTGACGAGAAGAAGCAGGCAGCGGACAACGCCAACAAGGCCTACAAGGAGGCATGGAGGTTGAGTAGTTGATTTGCACGACACTTCGAGAAACCGACCTGCATGCCCCGTCTCCCCTGTATGGCCAGGCAGCCGAGGTTGCGAACAAAGATCTGGCGGTCACGCATCCCATTCGACTTGGCCTGGCACTAAACTACTCCGTGTTCCAGTACGAGGTGAGGAACGAGCCAGAGGAGGCCTGCAAGATGGCACGCACAGCGTTCGAGGATGCCATTGCTGAGCTGGACAATGTGGCCGAAGACTCCTACAAGGACTCGACGCTCATCATGCAGCTGTTGAGGGACAACTTGACGCTGTGGACCTCCGACCAGGAGGGACAGGGCTAAGTAAGAGCCACAGCTGAGCCGCAGAACGCACCCCTGGTCTTTCGGACCCTGTGAGCGAAAGCTTCATGGTCAGAGTCTGAGGGGCAAGCCCTAAGCCCAAGAGCCTCAAACCCAGACTCTGAGATGCAGGCCCCGTACTGCCTTCAAGCCCTAGCGACCCAAGTGAACCCTAAACCGTAAACCCTAAACCCTAAACCCTACACCCTAAACCCTAAACTCTAGTTACCCATGAGCCTTGAAGCAATCTGCCAGCGCCTTCAGCAACAGACCTTGAGTCATGCTGATGACCCCGTGCCCTGTGCCTAGTTGCACGTATGTCATTTGGGGGCCCCACCGCACCGCTCCCCCTCCCCATTCTCTAAGGGTAGTTTCATGGGCCCTTAAATATGGTCCCTCCTTCAAACGGTTCCGAAGTATGGGCCCTTGGGTTGTATGGGGTATACATGGGGTACATAGGCCCCTTTTAAGGGCACATACTTGGAGTTTCATGGTACTTATTAAGCAGTTATCACTGCACAAATAACCCACTCATAAGCCCCTTAAGTGGCCTAATATGGCTACAAGCACAGTTTTAAGTACAGCCCTAATGGGTTTAGGGTTTAGGGTTTAGGGTTTAGGGTTTAGGGTTTAGGGTTTTCAGGGACCGTGTAGGTCGACCCGAAGATATTCCCAGGCTCGAACTGCCCGCCGACTTGGCCGAGCGCGCGACGCGGTGCCTGGAGGGGCAAGGAGGCCATGGTTTAGGTTCAGGGTTTAGGGTTTAGGGTTTAGGGTTTAGGGTTAGGGTTCAGGGTTTAGGGCTCCGTTCTTAGACAGGTCATGCTCCACCCACCCTATCCAGTAAGGTGCCCCCTGAATTACTACCATTTGCTTAAGACCCCCCCTTTTAAAGTTAAAGATAATAATCCCTCCCACAACATTTTTTTTGGGGGCTTCCTAAGCAAATAGTAGAGTAGGGGGTCCCCTGAATGAGGCCAAGTTTGCAGAGGGCTCTTCAGGATCGTGTGACTATTGGGGATCCGCAATTCTGTCACGTCTTCCTGGTGCCGCAAGAAAATTTCGGTGCGCCTTTAAGATGAACTTTCGGGTCCTTTCGGGCCCTTTTAACGTCATATAGCATGATCCCGTTGAAAGCCATGCAAGATCCCGGGACCGTTGAATGACGGCCAGAATCAGCTTCGACTGTTCGGGGTGGGGATTGCACCAAAGAGTGCGGAACATTGGGGTGTTTCTGGTTTAGGGTGTTTACCTGTGTCTGTCTCTGTCTGTCTGTGTCTGTTGAGCTGTCCATGTCTGTGTGTGTCTATCTGTGTCTGTGTTTGTCTGTCTCTGTCTGTCTCTGTCCGTCTCTGTCTTTCTCTGTCTGCCTCCGCCTATGTCTGTCTCTGTCTGCGTCTGTCTGTCCGTCTCTCTCTCTCTCTATCTCGCTCTCTCTCTCTCTCTCTCTCAAAGTCAAATTGGCTGGGCTATTAGGACACCCTGACTGTTTGGGGGTGCGCGGTGGGATCCTGAATAAAGTCGGGCGCCGTAAGACAATTCCACGTGGCGCGCCTTTAAAAAAGATTGTCGGGCATCGCTGCCCCTTTTAAACTTACATAAACTCCTCCCTATTAAAATTATATGAAACCCGTGGACCGTGTATACAGAGACAAAAACCGCTTCGACTGTTCTGGAGGGGGAAGGGGGGTGGGCCCACACAAAAACAGGTGCAACATTCATGGGGTCCGGCACGCTTCTGGAGGGGCCGAGCTTCTGGCAGGCTCTCCTGGTGATTGCGAGGGGCTGGAGATAGAGATTACATCTGACCAGCAGGCAGGTTAGGGCAAAAGGTTGAAGGGTTCAGAGTTTAGGAGTTGTTACTAAGCGTATTCTTTTGATCAGGTTGCGCTTTGTCCTTGGACCACATTGTCGTTGCGTTGGGCTTGGACATCCTGGGGGCCGGGGTTGGGGGGAGGAGTATGAACTGGCATCGCGTGCATAACATGCACGATACACCTGTGCCATTCTTTGCCCACCCCTCAAGATAAGCCCACGACTCGCAACCCTGAGCGTGCCACCATGTGCCTACCCGAACATCACTGAGATAGCTACCTTGAAGACCGCCCCCCCTGGCTCATGTTTTCTCTCTTTGGCCGTGTTGAGCCCTAAAACCCCAAGTCCCGAAGACACCAAGCCCTTATAAGACAGAAAATCTACCGAAGTCACTTGTAAACGTGTGGAGGGCGGGTCTACATGCAATGTTGCGACAATGTCGCAAGACGATTTCAGGGATTGGGGCATTTTCGGGCTTCTGGAGGCCTCGCAAATGCCAGAAAGTTTCGGGGGCCTTTCAAAGGCTTTGATGAGTTTTGTGAAGGCCAGACGACGTCGCTGTAGTGTGGAAGAGCCCCGTAACCCTTGCGAAGGTCAGAAACTGCCCTACGACGAACGATCTCAGGGGTTCTAGGATAGTTCTCATTGGGTGTTGTAAAGCACCAAGAGACGGAGCCTCATGCAACTTCAGCTTGCCGACGATGTTGTGAAAAGGAAAAGCTTTCCTGGTGTTGAAAGAACAGGCGGCCCCCCCAACCCCTCACGCAGGTGGTAGAGCAGATTCGTTTAAATGTAAAAAACAACCAACGTGGTGCTTATGCCACAGAAATCCAGATCCCTTCGCGGAGGCAGGTGCCAGGAAAGGCGTTCCATCGGGAAGGAGGTGGCGAGTCAAGGCGATGTGTGCTTGGTTTTTTTAAAAAAGAGAGAAAGAGAGAGCGAGAGAGAGAGCGAGAGAGAGAGAGAGAGAGAGGGAGAGAGAGAGAGACTAGTTTCAGGGTTCGGTAAGACATCCGTCTATATCCTTTTTGGGGTTGAGGGCGTTAAGATTTGCGGTTCACGGGGTCTGAGTATCTGGGGTGAAAAGCACTTCAGCGCCTCTGCGGGTTCACAAAAAATGGTTTAGGGTTTAGGGTTTAGGCTACTTCATCCGAAGTGGGGGGGGATCTGTAGCCCCAAGAGAAACGTCAATAGTCTGCTGCCATTTACGGGAGGTCTAGGATGTACTTACTTGGAGGTTCATGGGTAGCTAGAAGTAAGGTTATAAGTACCCTGAATAAAGATATGTCAAGTTACAACTCTAGTTGCCTTACTTGCAACCCCACGTATAACTACTCCCTAAACCCTAAACCCTAAACCCTAAGCCCTAAGCCCTAAACCCTAAACCCTAAACCCTAAACCCTAAACCCTAAACCCTAAACCCTAAACCCTAAACCCTAAACCCTAAACCCTAAAGTAGGGTTAACAGTGTGGGCCTTGCGCAAATTGGGTGCTTTGGGGCTTCTTGGCATGTGGGCTCCCATGATGTCTCTCGAGCAGGGTTTAGGGTTTAGGGTTTAGGGTTTAGGGTTTGGGGTTTAGGGTTTCGGATTTAGGGTGGCCCGAAACCTTGAAGAACGAGAGTTTCGGGGCTCCTGGTTCAGAAGCCCAAAGAACACGGGGTCGGGTTCTGAGATCCTATGCTCCCCCCCCCCCCCCTCCGTTCTCCTCCTGAGCCTTCAGATCTAAGCCCCAGACCGTCAAACCTAGAACTTGTAAATCCTTAAACCCCCCAAAGCCAGGCTCCACTGAAGCCGAAAGCCCCAAAAGCCCCACAAGGCCCATAAGCGCCAAAAAGCCCAGAACACTACGAACACCCTCCCTAAGACCCTACTGCAAGTAGGGCCCATTGCTGTTAGGGCTTTCACGGTTAGGGCCTACTTGGAGGTTCATGGGCAGCTAGAAATGGGCTGATAAGTAGGGGTACCTCTAGTTACAATTGATTATAGCCTTAATTAGGGAACTTATAACCCTACTTATAACTACCCATGAACCTCCAAGTAAAGCGCCAGAGCGCCAAAACACTGGACCCGAAAGCCCCAAACGCCACTTCTCTCGACTTGAAAGGTTTGGGGCGAGGAGCTGCCACACCCTTGGCTTTTCAGGGTTTGGGGTTTGGGGTTTAGGGTTTAGGGTTAAGGGGATGCGAGCATTAGGTGGATACCAGAGTAGAATGATTTTCTCTCGGTGTGATCGCTCACTGTCGGCCGTAAGCCTGCAAGACACCTCAGCAAGTTTCTGGGTCAAGGGTTCACCGAGGAAGGGCACGTTGGTGGACCTGCCGTGCTACACCGAGAGCCACATCCTTCCTCCGAGCTCGACTGACACCAGCACGGGGGCCGGGGACTCCAGATGCGACTCCATCGCTTCTTTGCTGTTGTGCTAGGAACACTGGTAACGGTCTTCTTCTTCTTCTTCCTCTTCTTGTTCTTCGTCTTCTTCTTCGTCTTCTTCTTGCATCAGCTAAAGCTGCCTCGCTGCAATCGTACTGGATGTAATCATGCGAGCCTTACGCGTTAGGTCCTCTACAAGTCTGCAGAGATCACGCAGATGCTGATCGCCCACCGCGAAGATGAGCTGCCCAACAAGCAGCACCTCCTCCCTGCTGTTCTTTCTTGCGGGCCTTGTCTTGTCCTTGCGGAGCCCTGGGTTAGGGTTTAGGGTTTAGGGTTGAGGGTTTAGGGTTTAGGGTTTAGGGTTTAGGGTCTGTGTAGCCTTGCATAGCCTCTTCCCCTCTGCCAGATACTTGGACACAAGCAGCTACGTGTGGAAGCCACAGCCTTGGCACAGCGCTTGAAGGCCAGAGTAGTGGCGTAAAGCCTATCTGTGTGGTTTAGGGTTTAGGGTTTAGGGTTTAGGGTTTAGGGTTTAGGGTTTAGATAGGGTTTAGGGTTTAGGGTTTAGCCTTTGAGGTGTGGTTTGACACCTCCTACGCGTCTCATCACGAAGCGGAGATTTCGCGGCGTGCTCTGCCCTTTTCCTGTGACATTTTCTGACGTGACAGGTCATGCACGCCATGTTTGACTACCCAAACCCAGGTACCTCCACCCGAGTCGATGTTTTCAGCTACGCACATCAGAGAAGCCGTTTCGGTCGGGGGCTGAACAAGCTCACGAGCTGCTGCACCTTCTACTGATACCGGTTTGGGGCCTGTTTAGTGGGTTTCAAACCTTAAACCCTAAACCCTGAACCCTGAACCCTATCCCTAAACCCTAAACCCTGAACCCTGAACCCTAAACCCAAAACCCTAAACCCCAAACCCCACACCCGCAACCCTCACATAGCATCCAACAGAGTCTCAACAAGAGAAGCCCGCGCAATCGCCGTGAGGCCTTGAAGGATCGGTTGAGCAACGCTCCCTTCACCTACGAGGCCCCCTGGAGCCGTGTTGCTTGGGGTTTAGGGTTTAGGGTTTAGGGTTTAGGGTTTAGGAGATTACAGGCCTGTGTGTGCCCTTAAAGAAAGTGATTTTGCAGGGCCCCTCAGCCTGGGCCAGCCGATGGCAAGCACAAGAAATCCCTCACCCTCGGTGCCATGAACCTCCAAGAGCCCAGAACTCTTCAACTCTAGGCTCCAGGGTTTAGGGTTTAGGGTTTAGGGTTTGGGGTTTGGGGTTTAGGGTTTTTCAGAGCCCCAAATCCCTACATTTTCAGAACCGCCTCCCGGCATGGACGGGGGGGGGCTCACCAAGTGCTCCTGCGCCAGCTTGGATGTTCATGGTACTTAGTAACCCAATTATAACTGCACTTATAACCCAATTATAACCCCATTAGGGTACTTAAGGAGCGTACCCGAAACCCTAAACCCGAAACCGCTAAACCCTAAACCCTAAACCCTAAACCCTAAACCCTAAACCCTAAACCCTAAACCCTAAACCCTAAACCCTAAACCCTGAACCCTGAACCCTGAGCCCTGAACCCTAAACCCTAAACCCTGAACCTCCAAGAGGTCGAAGAGGAGGTGGACGCCGCTCGACCCTCAGAGCCTCAGAGTGCTGAGCCCAGAGCCCTTTGATGGGAAATTTCACACACTTTTTCAAGGGTTCAGGGTTTAGGGTTTAGGGTTTAGTGTTCAGGGTTTAGGGTTTAGGGTTCAGGGTTTAGGGTTTAGGGTAAGCTTGTACGTTTATGGAGTGAGGGCCTCAGTTCATTGTGGCGCAGTACCAGTTTTTATCGGTTGCATGTTCGAGGCAGCGTGCCGGCGCCAGCTGAGCGTTGTGAACAGCGCATTTCCAGCGTAAGGTGCGTTCATTTGGGGTAGCATGTGCGCTTTTGTTAGCGGCCAATCCCACCAGCGAATTGCTATCACGACCCTGAATCCCTAGACCCTAAACCCTAAACCCTGAATCCCCAGACCATGAGCGCAAGTGCTTCGATGGTTTTGAGCCCAGGCCTTCATCGAGCAGCTGCGTAAGGACGACCCCGGGAGCATCTGGAATCCTCCTTCGGCAGAAGGCCGCAGGTTTAGGGTTTTGGGTTTTGGGTTTAGGGTTTAGGGTTTAGGGTTTAGCATGTTAGGATGTTCGGCTCTACGCCGAGCACCGAGCAGAGACGAAAGGAAGTGTTCAAGGAGCCAAGCGCCAAACTGGAATCCATCCAAGTCCCGAATGGGTCCTCGTGTTTGTGCAAGCGTTCATCAGTGACGCTGTCAAGCTGCCATAGGGCCCATCCTCACAACGAGGAGCTCCCAAAGACTGTTAAGGCCCACTGTGCCCCTGTTCACCTGAAACGGTAAATCTGCAGTCATGCCTACAATCACATTGCGTCTTCGTTCCTCCATCACACCCAAAGCTGAATCTAAAGCATATACCCTAAACCCTAAACCCTCAACCTTAAACTCTAAACCTTAAACCCTAAACCCTAAACCCTAAACCCTAACCCTAAACCCTAAACCCTAAACCCTAAACCCTAAACCCTAAACCCTAAACCCTAAACCCTAAACCCTAAACCCTAAACCCTAAACCCTAAACCCTAAACCCTAAACCCTAAACCCTAAACCCTAAGCTTGAGCTGCAAGGTTTCAGGGCGTTTGGGGCATGTTTCGAGGCCTTTCGGGTGAGTGCAGACGTAGCAACATCAAGGCCAATCTCAAGCAGTGCTGGGAAATGAGCCCTCAAGGAGGGTTATTACTTGCTGTTGGCTATACACCGCACTTGTAAACCTACTTACAAGTATCTACGAGGCCACGAGCCTTCAGGTATACATACGTAGATCTGTATATATGTTTGCATGACATATGGTGTATATGTATATATATATATATACATATGTCTATGTACTGTATATGTACACATGACAAAAGATCTATCTATCTATCTACCTATCTGTCTGTCTGTCTATATGATATGGATGTACATGTGTGTATACATATATATATATATGTATATGTGTATATAAATAAATATATATAAATAAATAAAAATATATATATATATATATAGATCTATTTGCAGGCTGAAGGGCAGCGTATGGTATTGACGGCAGAATGCAGTGAACACACCGTTAGCTTACACCTTGAGCCGTATGCTCTTCTATCTTAAGTCCCTAAACTTCGGGGTTCAATCAAACATGGTAAACATATGGGACATTTCGAAGTTCTTAGAATTTTAGGATCCGGAGCATCCATAGCAGGTGGTTTAAGATGTTCCAGATGCGGTGCAGGCTGAATTCCGAAACCGTTAGCTCTAAGCGTATTGCAAAATCAGTTCGGCCCTTGCCTTAAGTCTTAACGTCACCCTGGAGTATCGTCCTGGTGTGTTTTTTTTTCTTTTTGTGTGTGTGTGTGTGTGTGTGTCCGTCTGCCTGCCAGCCTGCCTGGCAGGCCGGCTGGCTGGTTGGCTGGCTGATTGTCTGTCTGTCTCCGCCTGTCTGTGTCTGTCTGTGTCTGACTGTGTCTGTCTGTGTGTTCGCGTCTCCTGATAGAAGCCCTACTTGCCCTAAACCCCACCGACCCCCCAACACCCACGCCCAGGCCCTGACCCCAAACTTCAAAGTCCTCCATATCCTAAAGCCTTGTCCGGGGGTGTCAAGCCCCAAACCTTAATGGCTACCTCGAGGCAGGGTTTAACGCAGGCTACTGGTCTTGTTCACTCCAACTTTGGTGCACATAGCCCTGCAAATGACTGTCGGTGCACCTCCCTCAACCCTAAACCCCAAACCCCAAACCCCAAGTCCTAAACCCAAAACCCTAAACCCTAAACCCTGGGTGTATGGTCGCATCTGGACAGTTCTGCGAGCTCCGCCAAAGCAGAAGCGGAGGGCAGGCTTGTCCGAAGTTTTGTTGGAAGGCTGTATTCATGAGGGCCATTGCTTGGAGGTTCGTCGGAAGTTGTAAGACTGCTATGGGCTATAAGTCGCGTAGCTATGGTGGCAAGTTATAGCCCTATTTAGGGTACTTAAAAGCCCCACTCATAGGTACCCAAATGAACCTTCAAGAGGGGCCCTAAACCCTGAACCCTAAACCCTAAACCCTAAACCCTAAACCCTAAACCCTAAACCCTAAGCCCTAAACCCTAAACCCTAAACCCTAAGCCCTAAGCCCTAAACCCTAAACCCTAAACACTCTCTACCTATATATATATATATAAACCTTAATGGGGTCGTCGGGTGATTTTGTGGTTTCGTGGTTTTTAAATCCTAAATCCTAAATCCTAAATCCTAAATCCTAAATCCTAAATCCTAAATCCTAAATCCTAAATCCTAAATCCTAAATCCTAAATCCTAAATCCTAAATCCCGAATCCTAAATCCTAAATCCTCAATCCTAAATCCTAAGTCCTAAATCCTAAGTTCTAAATCCTAAATCCTAAATCCTAAATCCTAGATCCTAAACCCTAAACCGTAAATCCTAAATCCTAAATCCTAAATCCTAAATCTTAAATCCTAAATCCTAAATCCTAAATCCTAAATCCTAAGTCCTAAATCCTAAATCCTAAATCCTAAATCCTAAATCCTAAATCCTAAATCCTAAATCCTAAATCCTAAATCCTAAATCCTAAATCCTAAATCCTAATCTAGTATGGGCTGTCCCGGGGCCCCCCTGGGACGGGTTTTCCCGGGCCCCACCGGGACCCCCAGGACCCTTTCCCGGGGACACCCGGCTTTTTACAGCCTTTTGGGGTTTTTTCAAGCTATTCGGGGCTGTGGTGGTGCTTTGTGGTAAAATGGAGGGTTCCCGAAACCGTCGATTCCGGTACTAAAAAACAGCAGCTGTTTTTCATTGAGGGAGCAGGCAAATACCAGGCTCCCTCCCCCCTTTTTTGGGGAGCTTTTTGAAGCATGTTGGTGTTTTTTAAAGCTATTTGGGGCTGTGGTGGTTCTTTGGGGTTAAATGGAGGGCCCCGAAACCGTCGATTCCAGCACTAAAAATCAGCATTTTTCATTATGGGAGCAGGCAAATAGCAGGCTCCCCCCTTTTTGTGTTTTTTTTGAAGCTTTTTGTGGTTTTTTAAAGCCATTTGGGGCTGCGGTGGTGCTTTGGGGTAATGCCTTTAGGACTTAGGATTTAGGGTTCAGGGCCCTCTCTGGGCTTTTAAGATTTAGGATTTGGAGTTCGGGGGGCCCTCTTTGCAGCTTTTAAGACTTAGGCGTTAGGGTTTAAGGGCCTTTCTGGGGCGTTTAGGATTTAGGATTCAGGCGCCTCTCTGGAGCTTTCAGGATATAGGGGGGACTTAAGGCAGTAAGAATTGAAATGGTAGATAAGGTTGCCGAATGAAAGGGATTCTAGGTGGGTGGGGTGATGCCAAACACCCTTGGTGAGTGCTTGGACCAGAGATGCTGAACCCTAAACCCTAAACCCTACACCCTAAACCCTAAACCCCCAAACCCTTGTTTGGAGTCAAGGGGGTTTTTCAAAGGCTAAGCTGGAGTTCGAGTTTCGGGTTTAGGGAGGGATGTCAGGGGCTTGAGATGGCTCGGAGCCGAAGCTCCCCGAATCCTCAGCCCCAACAGCGAAAGCCTAGGGTTTAGGGTTTAGAGTTTAGGGCTACTTCACAAGGTTCACGGGTGGTTCTAAGCTACTTACGAGTGCCCATCGGCCTTGAAGGAATTCATGAACAAACCCAAGTCCTAAGCTGAATGACACTCTACTTGAAGGCTCATGGGCAGGTATAAGTAGGGTTAAAAGTAAAGAAGGTTATAACCAGTTTTAACTATAGTCACCCTACTGATAACTCCACTTCTAGCTACCCATGAACCTCCAAGTAGACCTAAACCCTAAAAACCCTAAACCCTAAACCCCCTAAACCCTAAACCCTAAACCCTAAACCCTAAACCCTAAACCCTAAACCCTAAACCCTAAACCCTAAACCCTAAACCCTAAACCCTAAACCCTAAACCCTAAACCCTAAACCCTTAGAGTTCAGGGTTTCGGGTTTGGGGTCAGGGTTTAGGGTTTAGGGTTTAGGGTTTAGGGTTTCACCCTAACCCCTAAGCCCTACCCTAAACCCTAAACCTCTGAGCCCCGAAGCAGTAAATTCCTCGGCGGTGGAGGCGCCGCAGCCGAGGACGCTGCGACGAGTGAAGGAAACGCCACGTTTTAGGGTTTAGGGTTTAGGGCTACTTGGAGGTTCATTTGGGTAGTTATAAGTAGGGTGATAACTAGTGAAACTATCCTTGTAACCTTACTTAGGGCACTTCTAACCCTACTTCTGAGTACCTATGAACCTTCACGTATCTCACTGCCGTGTCATAGCGCTCAAGACTTTGGGGTTTGGGGTTTTGGGGTTTGGGGTTTAGGGTTTAGGGTTTAGGGTTGGCGGTTTGCTGTGAGAGGGCGAAGATGCTATGAAGGTTAGGCTTTGGAACAAGCTCGATAGCTTCGTGAGGCGCGAAGAGCAGCTTTGGACCGATTGTGGAAGGCCATCTAGCACTTTTCTTTCGCTTACGACGTCCGAGGCGGCAAAGCCACCCAAACCTATTCCTTTTAGGGTTTAGGCCTAAACTAAACCTCTAAACGCTTCTTCGGGTTTCAGGGGGTCGCAGGAGGGTCCCAGCGGTCCGGGTATCCCAGAAGCGTCTCAGAAGGGTTAAAAGGGGACAAGGCCCTTGGTCCCCTGGACACGCTGCGGCGAGGGGTCCAAGACCCCGGGGCTGGGTCCCGAAAAAACGCGCTCCCGTACTCGTGGGTGCTACCGACCTGGATCGGCTTGCGCCATCGAGGTCCAGGGGCTTAGGCGCCGCCCCCCAACGTAAGGGGGCGGTTTAGGTTTAGAGTTTAGGAGATTAATGGGGTTTTAGGGTGTTTGGGTGGTTGAGGGGGCTTAGGGCTTAGGTTTTTCTTTGGATTCTGGCCCAAATCCTCGCACCCCAAATCCCTGGAGGTTTCCTGCCAAACCCCCCCTTCCAACCCTGGATCCCTACACAACAGGCCTGCGGTGTCTCGGAACCTCCCATGCTCCTGAACAAACCCTGAAGAACTACCCAAGATGGGGCTTGGTGGTCCATGAACCAAGCCCCCCAAGCTGTTTTTGCCCTAACTCTGAAATTGGAAGCCTGAAACCCTGCAGCCCTCACCCAGCTCCCACCCTGAATCCTAAACCCTAAACCCCTAAAACGCTGAAACCCTAAAACGCTAAACCGCTTGCAGGCCCGCATTCCCAGGTGCCGCAGCGCGCGGGGCGAGGCAGAATTTTTCTGCCCTGTTGGCATGTCATGTGGGCCGGGGTTTAGGGTAGAGGGTAGAGGGTTTAGGGTTTAAATTTGGGGTGCTAGAGTCTGCACAAAGTGACAAGTTGGGCATTCAAGACAAGGTGAGACTACTTGGCATTGGTAGCATGAGTGTGTGTGTGTGTGGCAAACCTCTGCCAACTTACTAAGAACTTCAGGTTTGCGAACAGTGGTATCGGGCTCTTGTTTCTCAGCCAAATCTGAAATTGTGAAGGTCCATGGGTAGTTATAAGAGGGTTTTCAGCAGGGCGACTACAACTGGTTCTTTCCTTATCTGCCTTATCTACTACTTGCGTAATACCCACTCAGAATCACAAAGATAATAACCTCCATATTGCCCGAATAAGCAAGACAATATTATGTCCATGTCTATATTTATATCTATATCTTATATCTTATATCTTATATCTTATATCTTATATCTTATATCTTATATCTTATATCTTATATCTTATATCTTATATCTTATATCTTATATCTTATATCTGTACCTTTTATTTGTATCTATATATCTATACCTACATCTTTATATCTATATCTATATCTATATCTATATCTATATCTATATCTATATCTATATCTATATCTATATCTATATCTATATCTATATCTATATCTATATCTATATCTGTATCTGTATCTGCATCTGTATCTGTATCTGTATCTATACCTGTATCTATATCTATATCCATACCTATATCTATTTCTATTGCTATTTCTGTTTCTATTTCTATTTCTATTTCTATACCTATACCTATGTCTATATCCATATCTATAGCTACATCTATATCTATATCTACTTCTAGATTTGTATCTTTATCTATATCTATATCTATATCTATATCTATATTTATATTTATATTTATATTTCTATTTATATTTATATTTCTATTTATATTTATATCTATATCAACAGCTATGGCTATATTTATGTCTGTATCTGTGTCTATATGTAAATTTGCATCTGTATCTATATCTTTTTTGCAGGGGGGAGGGGTTCTCAAGCAAACAGTAGTTCTTTAGGGTACCTATCACCCTAAACCCTAAACCCTAAACCCTAAACCCTAAACCCTAAACCCTAAACCCTAAACCCTGAACCCTAAACCCTAAAACCCTAAAGTACCTGTAGCCCTACTTACAACTACTCAGAACTGCCTTCCGGGATGTTCCCAATCCTCAGAGCTCGTCCAAGAGCTGCGTCTAGGCTGGGCTTCGGGCTGCTCGGGCTTGACTGGGTAGGGTTTAGGGTTTAGGGTTTAGGGCTTAGGGTTTAGGGTTTAGGGTTTAGGGTTTAGGGCTTAGGGCTTAGGGTTTAGGGTTTAGGGTTTAGGGTTTAGGCTTTAGGGGCTTAGCGCCGTTCAGGTTGCCCGAAACCCTGCACCCGCCCACGTCGCGTCAGGAGGCCGCGCTGGAAGGCGGCAGCCCAGCCTGGGAAGCGCAGGCCGAACCCGTTTTTGCTTTCATCAGTCCCTAGGGCCCCGGAGGGCCCGGAGTGGGCCCCGTTTCCTTTTTTTTGGGGTTTAGGGGGTTTACCCATTAGGGTTTAGGGTTTAGGGTTTAGGGTTTAGGGTTTAGGGTTTAGGGTTTAGGGTTTAGGGTTTAGGGTTTAGGGTTGTTAGGACCCAGAGTAGCCCCTGTTCCCTTTTTTTTTTCGGGTTTCGGTTCCCTTATAAGCCCCTTTAAACCAACAAAAGGCACCCTGTTTTATTCCTAGGTTACTCTTGGGTCTAGATCCCGTTAGGAAGTTCATTGGCTAGTTATAAGTAGGGTTATAAGTAGGATAACTCTACTTGTAACTTGTCGTCTTATTTAGGGTACTTATAGCCCAACTTGTAAACCCTAAACCTTAAACTCCTTAAACCCTAAATCCTAAACCCTAAACCCTAAACTCATGAACCCCCCCAGTCGAGTGTCCCTGAGCCTTGAGTTTTGGGGGCTTGTTAGGGGTTTTCAGGGGTGAGGGGTTTTGCTTTCGATGTGCCTGGGATTTCGCTTAGGGCTTTGTCGAGGTTTTAGGGTTCTAGGGTCTTAGGGTTTTAGGTTTTCAGGATCTTAGGGTTGAGGGTGTACGTAGCTTGATCCCATCGACCCGGGACGAGATTTTAGGAAGGTGTTTCTAACCACAACATCCGAAGCCCTGAGCCCGAAACCTTTTGCTCTACCGCATGGCAGGTTTCCTAAACTAGCGTGCGTTTATCCCATTCGAATGCGGGGCCTCAAGAACTCAGCGTAATCCAAGAAGCGGTCATGGTTTCGATGAAGCCCCATGCAGCGGAATCGCAGGCGGTGCTCCCGGCAAGCGTGCAGCCAGCGAAGGTGGAGGCCAGAGCTGTTTCAGCCGGTAGAACTTGAAAGAGAAGTCACACAACACCAACACACACACAGCCGGTAGAACTTGAAAGAGAAGTCACACAACACCAACACACACACACACACACACACAGACACACACACACACACACACAGACACACACACAGACACACACACACACACACAGACACACACACACACACACACACACAGACACACCACAGAGACACACACACACACACACAGAGACACACACAGAGACACACACACACAGACACACACACACAGACACACACACACACACCTGAGCCTGAAAACCCCGAACCCGAAGTTCCCAAAAGCTCCCGAAGCCCGAAGCCCGAAGCATAGCGGCTTGCAAGCTTAGATATGAAGCAAGCCCGCACCCAAACTTCGAGCTTGAGGGTTTAGGGTTTAGGGTTTAGGGTGGCGAAGGAGGGATCGGCGGGACGGTCGCTCAGCGAGGGCGGATAGATTTTGCCACAGCGCATTCTGCTGGAAGATGGCCTACTAGTAGTATTCCCTTATGGCCCTATACAATATATATATATATATATATATATATATATATATATTTTTATCTACTATAATACACCCCAAACCCTATTCTGAATGTTAAGGTCCCAATATTCAGTTTAGGGTTGGGGTCTTGGGTTGAGTGTTTCGGGAGGGTTGAGCAAGGCACCCAACCATGCCAGGATCGACGCGCCAGGAAAAAGGGACCTGAAACCTGAAGCAACCCTAAACCCAATTAGTTGCTTAAGAACCCAAAAGAATGAAAAATAATAATCCCTATATTGCAACCCTACTAGTTGCTTAAGAACCCAAAAGAATACAAACAATAATTCCTATAAGAACCCGAAAGAATACAAACAATAATCCCGCATCACCTGCCATAATGCTTTGGTCTGCCTTCTTGTCGGGAAGGGCAAGGCCGGAGCTGTGGTTGAGGCTTTAGTGCCTCGGGCCTGAATATGAATACACCCTAAACCCTAAACCCTAAACCCTAAACCCTAACCCCTAACCCCTAAACCCTAAACCCTAAACCCTAAACCCTAAACCCTAAGCCCTAAACCCTAAACCCTAAACCCTAAGCCCCGCAACCGAAACCGAAGCGCTGATCTCAAAGCCCAAGCCCCGCAGAAGGCACCAACACTTTTGATCCAAGGACTCCCAAGCCTTCAAAGGGTTTTGGGGTTCAGGGTTTAGGGTTTAGGTTTTATTCATAGAATGAAAGTTAAGGTTTAGGTGCAGTCGCAGCTTAGATGTAATTGCAGAGTTAGATGTGGGCCAGGAGTGCAGTTGCCTTGCTACAAACCCTACTTCTCAGAGCCCCGCACGGGCTGGGCCCATTTTCCTTTCATGAACTGCATGAATGGGTTGTTAGGGTTTAGTGTTTAGGGGCTAGGGTCTAAGGGAGCTCCTGCTAGTAGTCAGGGCAAAAGGCCCCCTGAACCTGAAGCCCTAAACCCTAAACCCTAGACCCTGGACCCTGGACCCTAAACCCTAAACCCTAAACCCTAAACCCTAAACCCTAAACCCTAAACCCTAAACCCTAAACCTTAAACCTCGCAAAGTCGGCGAGGCAGCCGCCCTGGAAAGCGGCCCGCAAGCTTGACCAGCATAGGCGCCACCCCTGTCAGCGCCCGGATTCTTCGGGTTTAGGCATCAGGGTGTTGGGTGTAGAGTTTTGGGCTGTACATGTTTTTTTTGCCTGTCCTTCTGTTTCGTAAGGTTTGGGGCGCATCATTTGTTGCATTCAAAACCTCAAATAGTATGACTTGATGGTCTACTTGAATGTTCCTGGATAGACTCGGGTTGCATCTTCATGAGGCGTGATGACGATAAACGCAGTTACTCTGGTTTAGCCCTAAACCCTAATAGTTTGTCAATTAATACCATCTGCATAAATGTTAGATTCCCGTGGATATGATCTTTCATTTTAGTTCCTTTTTTTGTACTTATATTGAAAATAATGGTTTTCATCTCTTAATGCAACACCAAGTTCCTCTGCAACTCTTTTTGTATTGTCTTTTAATTGTACTATTCTTGGATAGGAACAAATAGGTTTTGGAGCTGATGAACAGTCAAGAACTGTTAAATGCATAAGATAATGGCTTTGGCATTTTGTGTAGTTTTGCCTTGTCCAGCGGCACCAGTAACATATACTAGTTGACGACATATATATACACATATAAAATGTGTAAAAGAATTAATTTGAGATATAGAACTCATCGCATAAGTAGAATTCCAATCAAATGTTTCAGTTAAACTATCCGGAGATGCATGTTTCGTTGCAGAGTAAGAATTTTCAATTTCTTAATTTTGCATTGTCAAAATGAACAATAGTATTCATCCCATAATGTCTATGTTCATGTAACTGTTCAAAGAAAATCTTCACTACGTCAAATGATGATCACATTTCTATTTTAACATGAGTATAATCTAAAACATGTGGTTGATACGGTGCACGGAAAATTTGCCTGGATATTCCGTTTCATATTGATTAGCTTTATTTGTGATGCTTATTCAATGATTATAATCCAATTTCGTTGCTTTTATCATGTTTGATATTTGGACTTGTAAAAAACTAATATACCGTTTTAACATAAGGGTTTAATATTGTTCTATAAGAATCTTTATGGGGAGGTGGATGGGGTGAACAGCCATGAAGGCAATGCAGAGGCGGGAGAAGGATGTGGAGGTTGTGTGGATATGGGGGGTGCATGGGGGTGCTTCATCCCTAAACCCTAAACCGTAAACCCTAAACTCGTCTTGGGGATCAGTGAGGCTCCTCTGGGAGGTGGACTTTGGCAAAGAAAACTTTGGGGTGATGACGTACAGAGAGATGACAATGTGGAGGATGGCACAGAGGGAGTTTAGGGTTTAGCGTTAGGGTTCAGGGTTTAGGGGTTAGGGTTTAGGGGGTGGAATCGAAGATGACGCCGCCCGTGCCTGGGAGAAGGAGGAGGAGTAGGATTGTTGCTGCTCGCGGGGGTTCCTCGAGGGCTCGCTGATCAGCATTGAGCCCAGATAAAAACCCTAGACCGTAACCCTGAACCCTGAACCCTAAACCCCAAACCGTCCAGTTCTGGGAGCCCTAAAACCCCACAGCCAGGAAGTGCCCCAGACAAGCGACCGGCCAGTGAAGGCCGAGCATGCAGCTTTTGGGGCTTGGGGGCTTCGGGGCTTCGGGGCTTCGGGGCTGGGGGGTTTAGGGGTTTAGGGTTTAGGGATTTAGGATTTCGGGTTTAGGGTTTTGAGGCGCTAGGGTTTCCGATGATGGGTTGAGGGTCCAGGGTTTTGCGGTGTGGGGATGAGGGTTTCTTGGATTCTGGGAGGGACTTTGGGAGTTTAGGGTGCTTAAGGAGGTTTCGCTGGCGCCGCCCCAAGCCCCCCATCCTGAGCCCTAAGCCCTGAACCGTAAAAACGCGACAACTAGGGTTAGGGTGTAGGGTTTAGGGTTCGCGGGGGTAGCTATAAGCGGTTTTACAAATAGGGCAACTGTAGCCAGAGCTGGTTATCACCTTAATCGGGGCACTGCGAACCCTACTACTCACGAACCTTCAACTACACTGCCCAAATGACAAGGAAGCATTCCCGCGCAGCGCGTAGGGAGCCACGCAGGTTGAGATATGGGTGGGGGGGGCTTGTGGGATTTCATGTTGTCAGGGGCTCGGAAGAAGTTATTGGGTCCGGACCTTGAGCATTGAGTTCACACATGGATGTTTCGTGCCTACGCCTACGGGTTAGAAGCAGGGCAACTGTAATTAACTGTCTATAGAGTCTCTGTCCTTAGCTGAGGCAGGGGAAACCCTAAACCCAAAACCCAAAAACCCAAAACCCTAAACCCTAAACCCTAAACTCTAAACCCTAAACCCTACTTCAAACATTGCCACCCATAAGCCTTCCGATAAACCCTGAAACCCTCTAAACCCTGTACGCCCGAAGCCTCATAAGCTATTAAACCCCCAGCCCCACACCCTATGAACCTAAAGCCAAAACCCCAGACCCTGTAAGCCCGAGATCCTATAGCCCTAAATCCTAAACCCTAAACCCTAAACCCTACTTCAAACATTGCCACCCATAAGCCTTCCGATAAACCCTGAAACCCCCTAAACCCTGTACGCCCGAAGCCGCATAAGCTATTAAACCCCCAGCCCCAAACCCTATGAACCTAAAGCCAAAACCCCAGACCCTGTAAGCCCGAGATCCTAACGCCCTAAACCCTAAACCCTAAACCCTAAACCCTAAACCCTAAACCCTAAACCCTAAACCCTAAGCCCTAAACCCTAAACCCTGAGATCCTAGATCAGGAGAGCGACCGTTGCGCCTGAGCTGAACCAAGGCAATGCATGGGGCGGGCTGTTGGACCTTTGAGGTTGACGTGGTTTCGGACTTTTCTGGGGTGCTTAGGGTTTAGGGTTTGGGGTTTAGGGTTTAGGGTTGAGGGTGAACCGAGGATCCAGGGTTTATGTGCAGCAGGGTTTCGAGCCAAGGTGCGCGTGCAAATTGTCGGCTGAATGTTTGGTTTTCGTGGGCGCAGGCTTTATGCCTCAAAGTGTCGGGGGTTGCCCGGAACACCGGGTGTTTGACGTTTCCAGTCTTGCGACGACCCAAGACGCCTTTCCATGAGCAGGTGTCCAGAGGGGGGATGAGCCCTGAGCCCTAAGCCCCTCATGAGCCCTGCAACCTATAACCTCAAACGTCCTCAGCCCTCCAAACCTTTAGCTCCAAGACGCTGAGATGGCAGACGGGGTTTACTTGGAGGTTCATGGATAGTTTTAGGGTCCCTTGAAGTTTTTGTTTAATTTGTATAAAAGGGGTACCCCCCCCCCCCTATGTTGGGAAATGGCCATATCTGCCCATGAAGCTCCAAGTAGGTAGCCCTTAAACGGCGAGCCCTGAAACCTTCCTAGGCTGGGACTTCAAGGGAGGTTCGTAAGGGCTCGGGGTTAAGGAGGGAGGGTTTAGGGTTTAGGGTTTAGGGTTTAGGGTTTAGGGTTTAGGGCTTAGGGCTTAGGGTTCAGGGCTTGGGGTTCAGGGTTTCGGGTTTAGGGTTTGGGGTTTGGGGTTTAGGCGAGGTTCAAGACCTGGTTTTAGGGTCAAGATCGTTTCGGGGATCGAGGCGGCGTTGTCTGAGCAGCCGAGCCTTGCCAGGCCGCCCAACGTCCGGCCATGATCTGCGCGCTGTCATCCCCAGTGGAGCTCACCCGCGTGCAAAGGACCCTCAGCGCAAAAAACCAAAAACTATGAACCTAAACCCTGAACCAAAGACTATGAACTATAAACCCTAAACCCGAAACCAAAGACGACTAACCCTAAACCCTAAACCCTAAACCCTAAACCCTAAACCCTAAACCCTAAACCCTAAACCCTAAACCCTAAACCCTAAACCCTAAACCCTAAACCCTAAACCCTAAACCCTAAACCCTAAACCCTAAATCGCCTTCGGTTTCGGGAGCAGGCGCTTAGGATCCCGAAGGCTCCCCGCACTTCGATCCCGATGTGGGATGTTGGGATTGGGCCTAAGCCTGCGGGTTTAGGGTTTAGGGTTTAGGGTTTAGGCTTCAGGGTTTTAGGAGTTTGGGCTCTCTGCGAGTGGGAGAGGCACCAGGCTCTAGGACTGATGCCATAGAATTGTGCATGGGAAGATGTCTCTTCCAACTCGGTGTCGGGTTTTTGGGGCTGTGCACGCTACTCGCGAGAGACGCGTCCCGCGGTGTGCGGCGAGGCTGCTTCCCATCCCGACCGCTGGGATGGGGGTTGTTGGGTTTTGCGATTGGGCTCTTGATCTTCAACCCTAAACCCTAAACCCTGCACCCTAAACCCTAAACTAAACCCGGACCCTAAACCCCGGATGCGAAGGAAACTGAGAGCACAAGGAGTCTGTTCTGGGTTGAGGCATCTGCATTCACCCTTGGTTCTTAGTAGGGAATGCGGGAATGAGGTACCGTACATCTATATATATATATATGTATTTATGGGGGGATATAGGGTACCTCATTCCCTCATTCCCTGCTAAGAACCAGCCAGATTCCGGCTTGAACATGTCTCCGGATCTTGGTCTATAGCTTGGTCAGCCGTGTATATACTTGCAGTAGGTTGAAAGCACAATAGGTCTTTGCCCTTTTTGCTGATCGCATCTTCGAAGACTGGCTGACCAAACAACCTCCCGACACCGACTCCCTAAGCTCCTCACACTTTGACCTCAAACCCCACGCCTCAAGTCCGCGTCAGCCCCAAGCCTCAGGCTCCAAACCACAAAACCCCAACCCCAAACCCTAAGCCCTAACCCTAAATCCTAAGCCCTAAAACCCCACCCCCCTTCTCAAAGCCTAAACCTCATCACCGGCAGCCCAAACCCTGAGGCTTTTGGATTTCTAGTACGTGCCTGGCCCTGAGAAATTGAAGGTAGGATTTTAGGGTTTTAGGGTTTTATCGGGTCTTATAGGGTTTTAGGGATTTAGGGATTTAGGGACTTAGGGTTTTAGCGTTTAGGGTTTTAGGGTTTAGGGCTGTCTCCGATCTTAGCCCCTACACGGGGCGCATGCTCACGAAACTCGTGACAAGAAGGTTGATGTGGTGTTGAGGGTTTAGTTACTGCGTTCAGGCGCTGGGGCAGGACCAAACAACGGCATTTAAAATAATCTTAACGGCTGAACAGTTGGGTCAGAAGCGGGTTAAGCCCTAAACCCTAAACCCTAAACCCTAAACCCTAAACCCTAAACCCTAAACCCTAAACCCTAAACCCTAAACCCTAAACCCTAAACCCTAAACCCTAGCAACCCTTCAAGCCCGAGGGCCCAATGCCCCTGAATTGTGGAACAAAGGCCTTTTTAGGGTTCAGGGTTTAGGGTTTAGGGTTTAGGGTTTAGGGTTTAGGCTTTAGGGTTAGGCTCCTTATGGAACTCATGCAGCTTATGGTGTAAATGTCTAGTTCCCATCCAAAAAACTCTAGAGCTTGCAGCTTGCTTGCCTTGTTCTGGTGTTTCGACTGCATGTTAGGGCGACTTCTATCTGGATTCGTGACGTTTGCAGCGAGCGTTCTGATCGCGATCTGCTATTCTCGAGCCGCAAGTTGTCAAGATTGAAAAGCCTCCTGCATTGCTGCCCGTCCCTCCTTCGGAAGGCATTTTTGCAGCCATGGCGGATCGTGAGAAGCATGTGTACTTTGCCACTCGGCTGTCAGCGGGGTTTACTTCGGCATGCGTGTGCTTGAGCCCCGGGTCGGGTAGGGTGAGCCTCTGCATCTGCTCTCGAGGCCAAGCTTGCCGAGCAGGCGGAGCGGTACGACGAGATGGCCGATTACATGAAGAATGTGGGCAATGCAGGCCCTGAACTCTCCGTAGAGGAGCGCAACCTGTTGTCCGTGGCCTACAAGAACACTGTGGGCTCTCGCCGTGCTGCCTGGCGCATCATCACCAGCGTCACACAGAAGCTGGGCTGCCCTTGATCGCTTGCTTCGTCTTTATCGTTTTCCCCGCGGTTGTGCATACCCTGGTGGCCAAGGAAGGAACGCACCAAAGGCAACACGGAGAACGAAGCCTATGCCAAGGAGTACTGCAAGAAGGTGGGATCTTCTATTTTGTTCAACAAGTGTGTCAAACGTGTGGACATGATGACCTGGAGGAATCTGTTAGCAATTAGTGGCGTAATGGTGGTAGCGAGGGGGTTGCCGCACGAGGCGAACGCCAAGGTGCTTAGCATGTCTTTGGGCTGCCAGGTCGCACGCCACCCCGAAACCCTGAAATCACAACATCCAGGTTGAGCAGGAACTGCAGGATATCTGCGACAAGATCCTGGAACTCTTGAGCACAAAGCTGATTCCGAAGGCAACCAGTGGTGAGTCCAAGGTCTTCTACCACAAGATGAAGGCTGACTACTACCGCCACTCAGCCTAAGGGGCAGACCCTAAACCCTAAACCCTAAACCCTAAACCCTAAACCCTAAACCCTAAACCCTAAACCCTAAACCCTAAACCCTAAACCCTAAACCCTAAACCCTAAACCCTAAACCCTAAACCCTAAACCCTAAACCCTAAACCCTAACCCTAACCCTAACCCTAACCCTAACCCTAAAACCTAAACCCTAAACCTAAACCCTAACCCTACCCTAAACCCTAACCCCTAACCCTAAACCCTAAACCCTAAACCCTAAACCCTAAACCCTAAACCCTAAACCCTAAACCCTAAACCCTAAACCCTAAACCCTAAACCCTAAACCCTAAACCCTAAACCCTAAACCCTAAGCCCTAAACCCTAAACCCTAAACCCTAAACCCACGTTTGTATAGGCATGCACAGTCATGTATTCGACAACAGCAGCATTAGCACATGTTCCTGATCACAGGCGCCTTGGGCTCAGATCGAAAACTGCAGCTACGGACTTTGTCACTGTGACTCTTGCCCCAGTACCCCGTTTCTGAAAACCCTAAACCCTAAACCCTAAACCCTATACTAAGTGAGGGGTCGCTTCCGTCGAGCGACAGACCCCGACCGAGGGCCTTACAGCCCGAGCGCCCAAGCGAAAAGAGAAACGGAAAGGTGAGGGTTAAGCCTCACCGTCTGTCCTGGACAGGCCAACGGACATCGGCCTTTTTTACGACAACGTCAGTACTCGGCTAAGTGATGGCCGGCACCCAGACCACCTTTAGCGTAGCTAAAGTACAACCCCAAATCGAAACAAGAGTTCAGGGTTTTGGGTTCAGGGTTTGCCTGGCCCCCCCCCTGCCGGGGGGCCCCTTGCCAAGCCCCGGCCAAAGACGCCCTTTCGGCCAAGGGCTCCCCAAAACCAGGGCCAGGGCCAAGGGACCCCCTCCTTAAGGGCCCCTTTTGCCAAAGAACCCTGGGCCCGCGGGCCAAGGGCGGTTCCGGGCCAAGGGACCCGGGCCAAGGGATACCGCACCAAGGCCCCGCCGGGCCAAGGGCGGCCCCAACAAAGGGCGAAGAGGGCCGTACCATCAATGAAACATGTTTTTTTTTTAAAACTGGAACCGATAGTTCCCTCCATTTTACACCAGAAGCGCCAGGAAAGCCCAGGAAGCCCCCAAGAGGCGCCAAGAGCCACCAAAAGGCTTCAAAAGCTTCAAAAGGCCCTCTAAAAGAAGGGGGACCACAAGATTTGTCCGTGCCCACAATGAAAAATGCGATTTTTGAATATTGAAAACGATGGTTTTAGGCACCCCTGCCCGCAATGAAAAATGTTGTTTTTTAGTACTGAAATCGATGGCTTTGGGCACCCCTCCATTTCACCCCAAAAGACCAGGAAAGCCCCAGGAAGCCCCCCAAATCAGCAAGGGCCTCTACGGGCCCTGACGCTACCCCGAACCCCAGCTTAACCC